CATGGTTTGTAGAGTAACAAATTGAGAAGTATCGAGATAAGCTTCTGATAAAACGATTATCTCGACACTACTTTTCAACTTTGTTCATCTTTGTTGGAAGTTCATGAAGTTTCGCTCATAATTGACCAGTCCGATTTTCTCACTCGTAGATACAGTAGCGGTCAAAAAGTGTTCGCCGAAACGGTTTTTCGTGCTCCTCTTTTCTTTTGCCAGAAAAAATCATGGTGACCTCGGAATTTTTTTGAATATCCTGATTCTTTAAGACTTGAGGATATAAAAACACTAGAAAACATAGTATATCAATCTTTGGAGGGCGTTGCTCAAGCGAGAAGAAATAATGCACGGAAAATCGTGCTGGGGAACAGCAAGTGCAGAATGTTGGTCTCCAACGCTCAAGCTAGCATAATCATGCAGTGGTTTCTCTCGAATTTTCTCATTTTTGAATAGTTTTGCCTTCTAGTTTATTTGAACATCTCGAGTAGGAGAATGAGGACCTCTTTTGCAAGCTCAACTTGCTTTTAGATATGTGAAGAATCTGATGAATTGCTGGTCTGCGCCATTTGGTGGCAGCGGACAGATCCCTTCGCCAGGCTGCCGCAGAGCTGGAGCTGCCGACGTGTGGTGGGCGTGTGAAGCGAATCGCGTTTTCACACTGAATCAGTTCCCGAACTGTAGATACTCCTGCGATGGTCAGTTTATATGTCATACCCTATTAGACTAGTGTGGAGATGGTCGAACTGAAAGGGTCCCTCTTCATTATGGGTTCTCCAGTAAGGAGACTGGAGTAATGGTTAATGAAAGTGCTGCAAGTTCGATAGAATCTCTTTGTTGTTCTGAAGCTAACTTATCTTAAGCTTATCTTATTTTGATATATTTAGTGCAACAACAATCGCTCTTACTTGAAAGCCATCTCAAAACTCATCACAAGGTAGGAATACTTCGATACGTCAATTAAAATAGCCATATTTTTGAGTTTATGGACCTGCTGTAGCTTTCTTTGGTAACGATCCAGCCAGTAATGTTCTCGTGGCCGTGAAGAGCTGCACGGCATTTTGAAGAAGTATTTTTTGGTATGATAAGGTGATCTGGGAAAAAGATGCGTGAGGAACGGAAAGTTCCCTTTGAGCCCGATATGAGACAAAGCGGGCACCTCTCTAAGGCCGATGTCAGACTTTGCGAATCGCGCGATTCGCTACTAGCGATTCGCGCGATTCGCTAGCGTCCGCGGTCGCGTTGCGGTACCAGCCAATTGAGTGATTCACTGGCCGCGACGCGACCGCAGACGCTAGCGAATCGCGCGATTCGCAAAGTCTGACATCGGCCTAACTGTGAGTTGTAGTGTAGCTTGCTCGGTGCTAACTCAGTTGGGGCGGGGGAGGGGGCAACCGGCGGCGTGGCGCTCTATTCGTCTGCTCCTCTAAGACTTAGTCGAAGGGGCAATTACCCTAATTTCCGGTAGATAAGCCCGCGCCGATATCACGTAAAAACACCTCCGCTCGTGCAGTGTAACTTTGTACACCTTAGAAACTACCGTAAATTTGCCTATAGAGGTAATTCGATGCCCTGATTACGAAAATGACTTTCATTTTAGCGGTGGCGCCATCTGGCGCCAGTTGGCGTCACCTTGTCACGACACCTGTTTTCACCAAATTTGGTGTAAAACGTATAGGGGTTATTTGGTCCTGATTACGAATATGACATTCATTCTCGGCGCTGGCGCTATTTGGCGCCTATTTTCTGCTCGTCTGCGCTCTCCAACCGAGAATATGCGTTGAACAACGTTAATGCCAAAAACGAATGTCATATTCGTAATCAGGGCACCAAATAACCCCTATACTGAAGTTTACACCGATTTTGGTGAAAACAAGGGTCGTGCCAAGGTGGTCGCCAACTGGCGCCACGCTATAAATAATGGAATGCTCTCTTTGTCCATCAGCCTATTTATTACCTCCAATGGACTAACTTACGCGTAGTCTCTAAACGCCCCGCGAGGTGTTTTTATGCGTCGGCGGCTAAGCCTCGAGCGCCAGTTTGGACGAGTGCCGCCGACTTTAGCTGAGCTCCCGCCTCGCTCAGGCCTGAATACGCGTGGTGACTAAGCCTCGGACGAGCAGTGATACGGACGCCCGCCTACCGACAAAGTTAGCTCGCCTGCTCATGCTGATCCTCGTTAGTGGCTAGAGTATCTATAATGAAAATTTCTAGTCTGCCTTCAATAGAATATAAGAGCTAGAGGCGATCAAATTAAGAAAAAGAGGAATGAGTAATTCTCCTCTGAAATTTGTCGCGTGCTGCTTTGACTTGGGGTCGCGCAGCAACAATTGCTGCTCGATTGGTTCCCACTTTTCCTACGTCCATGTGTGACATTACGGTTATAGCCAGAACTACCTTGTGAATTACGGTGGGCGATGGAACAATAGGAGAACCGCAATTTTCTTGTCGTCGCGTACTCCGGCCTTTCTCCCCATGAGCCAGCCCGAAAAATTCCCACGTTGCGTGTCGTAACTACTCTGCGAACATGTGTTCATGTGCTCTACACCTGTTATCGGGGAAATCCACCCCAGTTAATATCACTGCGTCCTGATTATAAGCATTATACGAAAATTTCTAAAATTCACGAATTTAATTGTTTGAGAAAGAGTCTGCAATGTGAAAATGCTAAGTATAAATGCTAGATCGTTATGAACATGAACCTTCAACTTGGGATCGCAGGACTTTTTTTGATAATTTTTGTGTAAAAAGCCACTTGGCCGATTCCCAAAATTATATAATTTCCACCTCAAATTTTTCAGTTACTTCACTTCTGTTTCATGAAACTTTTATTGTGTTGACATTCACTTTTTAAGAGGACAGTGCAATAAAAACTGCTGTCGGACTCTGGAAAAGGTCAACTCCGTCGAAAAAAGTTGCTTGGAAAGGAACAAACGATTGGATTTGGCACCGAAATTCACGGAAAATCAAAACACATATCAACAAAGTTCGGGCTCAGATCACTTAGCTCGAAGCCCTCACCATGGCTAGAAGTGCTGGGCGCGCAAGTGCAAAGGTAGCGCCACCTTTCTTCATCGAAAACACGCGTCACTAGGACCTCAGGCGCCACATAACACACCGACTCCCATAAACAACTTTATCGTGGTCCACCGCCACCGTTCTACCTATCTGTCTACGTCGCCTTGTTGATCTGCTATGCTCTCTCTTCTCGGACTTCTCTACCACTCTCCGTGCCCATACTACCTCTCACCTCCTTGCCTATCCTTTGACATCCACAGTGTAGAGTAAAATGCCCGCATTTCCTGTGTATATCAGGATTTCCTTTCCTTTTTTCTGCACTTGCGGTCCACCTCGCGTCCCTACTTTCACTTATACATTTGATCACTCCAATCCAAAAAAGCCTGATTCTGCCTTTTATAGAGTTCGTATGATAAGGACGCCGAGGGCTCTCCTCCTGACTTCTCGATGAGACACAAGGCTGTGGCTACAAAGAACATCCTCTTCCAGCCGCTCTGTATCGATTCTCTTGTAACTTCTTTCTCACAAAACCAGGACTAATATTCAAAACTGCTCGGTAAAGAGTCCCAAGTTCATGTATTTATAGTGTCTCTGAGCAGGAAAACAACCATCCAGAGAAAGAAAGACTGAAAACACACAATGGAATATCATGAAAACATACAATACCGCTACTAATTTTTGTTCAATCGACGGAATGCGACGCAGTCAGTCCGTCGCAACCGTCGCCTCGCCATAACTCGTGAACAAATGGACCAGGTCATTCGAAATTTATACCACTGGATAGCTCTGCTCACGAAGAATTCAACGGTATAGAGGACTATTGAGTTTCTCTGAATTTTCAGCTTCATTCTCATGAAATTTATCAAATTACCTGAGGCTGACTCATTAGCGGGCGTCGCTCGCTATAATTATAACAGAGGGGAAAAGGTATCTGATTCAAAGCAGCAAAAATTAATTCAAGCAAATAAACCAATTGCCACTTCAATGCAAAATTGGCCCAAATTTCCAGAGCGCTTCTTTCTCACAGACGAATGCCACTCCACATTCCCATCTCAAGGATGAACAAAGACTCTTTCGCATGAAACATTAAGTCCGTTGAGACATGAAGTTTGAAAGAAGATTCGATGACAGAGCTCGGCTTGATAGTAGTGGATGTCCTTTGTGGCACGGCCTTTGTGTCTATCGAAAAGTAAGGAGGACGTCCTCGGCGGTCTTACAATTCCATATCATGTGAAATCCTGATAGAAATTCTTTACGTTTTTGTGTGAATTTGGTCCACATCTAGCGCGTTTGCTTCCTTTAGCAATTTTTCGACGAGTCAACCTTTTTCGAAGACTGACAGCAGTTTTCACTGCACTCCTTAAGAAGTAAAGTGTTACCACATACGAAAATATCAAACATAAAACAGAAGTGAAAAGTAACCGAAAAACATGAGGTGGAGTTATAATTTTGGGACGTTCGGCCAAGTGGCCTTTTGAACAAAAATTATTAGAAAAAATTCCTGGGATCTCAAGTTGGAAAATTGATGTTCATAGGGATTTCGTATTTGTATTTACACACTGCCACATTGGAGACTTTTTCTAAAACATCTAATTTCGTGAGATTTTGGGAAATTCTTAGGTGGAATTATAATTATGGGAACGCAGTGTAGTTTCCACGCCTACTAAGAGGTGAAGCTATGCCAATAAGACGTCCGTTCAGACAGTTCAAATGAGTCGCAGTGGCGATTTCGAAAGGTGGGTCGTATTTGTGGGCGACTTCCTACATGTGTGGGGGTAGGGTCGTAAAAGTTTTTAAAAAACTATGAAGCTAAAAAAACTAAAAAAAAACTAAAAAACTATGGCCGAGTAATGAAGGAATCTCTGTAGAGACGGAATCAGGTTCCTTTCCTCCTAGCGGGCGATCGCCATGCTAACAGCGACAACTCGCACAAGCGAGAGGAAACACTAGATTGTGTGATTGGGGCCAGCAGCGTAGACCTGCTAATTTGAGAACGCATGTTGAAGAAGATGAAAGGAGGAGACCTGTCATATTGGCAATGCTCTTTCTTCTCCGCATGAAATATATTCCGTGCTTTTATTATAACAACAATTTACTATCGTTGGAGTTATACTTACCAGTAACCAGTCGTACTTTTTTACATTGTTGACGTCATTTTTTAGTTTGAAAATGGCATGCATTACTACAAAATTCCGGATTACATGGCCGTCGTTGGGGGAAGAAGATGCTCGTCGAAGGATCATGGATGAACAATTGAGCTCTATTATTATTCAGTTTCGTTGAATGAAGAGTCTATTCCAGTACATTTGTGTTCGAGCTCGGTTCTCCGATTTAGGCGATAAGTTCAGACTTGCTGCGAAAGAACAAAAATGAGCGTGATAGTCTTCTAACCCTTCCATCTTTGAGCCTGTTCTAGCCTGAGCGAATTCTACGTTGATGTGTTTTTAGCCACAAAGAGTGACTGTTACTTCGAGGTATCGCCACCGTTAGGGAAACAGGACAGAGCAGCATGACAGTAACGCATTCGGTGTCAGTTGCACAAAATTAGTCTACGAATAGGCCTCATTCAGGGAGTGCTGAAGGCATTTTGGAATTTAGCGAAAAGCCTAGACATAAACAAGGGAAAAGATCTTTGACAGTTGCAAATGATCTATTTCAACCTGAAAAACAAAGCAGGTTGCCACCATAAGCCACCGTGCATCTTCGTATGTTGTAATCGTGAGCTACGGCGTAGCCTTAGCCGTTGTGCCGAGAAATTATGATGGACGATTACTATTCAGTGTTAGAATCAATGGTGAGCTTATGTTTTATTCTGTGTGCTTCCGTTCGTGCTGGCATGCTGGCAAAATTCACAAAACTTACGATTAGATTAGTTTGATAGGCAGCAAGATTAAGTTCAGTGGCCATTCTGGATTACTTCGTTGCGATAGATTTACTCCTAGCACTGATTTTTGTATTGGGTTGATGCACAATTATTGCGGGTTTTTTCCACAAATTTTCATCAGTGGAAACATAAAAATATTTAA